GAAGTCACGGAAGGCATACTGAGATACTTAACTATAAGTTTCCTTATTACTCAGCAGAATGGGGCTCCTAAGGAAGATTAGGTAGTTTACAGAAAAATAAGAAAGTCTCATTTTCTTGGAATGAATGAGTATGTTGTGTGTAAACAACCCCTCTATGTATGGTTTATGAAACCCCTCCCCAAGTAGGGTTTTGGGTGAAATAATTCTATTTTAATGTGGAATGACAGGGATTCTGTGCTATTTGGTGACTTCTGAATCATGCCATATGCTCTGCACATACCAAAATATTTTAGTATGAAGAAGAGATGAGTTACTTTCTCACCTGTTCTTGATCCAAAATGTGGCAATCCTGGTACATCCCCAGAAAATGGGGGATGTGGCTTTTATAAAAGGACTGGGGCAGTTTTGGATCTTGAACTGGTTTGTTTTAGAACAACCTGGGAAGGTGAAAGACAAAGGAGATAAAGGAGAAAGCAATATTGTGTGTAGGTAGAATTTGGAATCTGAGTAAGAGAAACTTATCTTCCTGCTCTGTGTCTCCCTTTATCCTCACACCACTACCACACCCAGTGGTACCAGATGTGTGAGGGTCTTCCTGCACCAGGAAATTCTGTGACACCAGCTGGGTGCCCTACAATTCAAATCAATTTTGACACTATCTACCTGGAGACAGCATCAGATCCCACAGATTAATGGCTCAGTCCCACAAGATAGCCTCCACCAACACCACTGTAGACGCTGACCCAAGTCCAGATTGCCACCTGTGGTCCTAACCAACAAACTGCAGGTTAGAGGTTCCCACCATCTCCTCCTCAGGTTTTGATTAATTTGCTACAGTAGCTCACAGAACTCAGGAAAACACTTTCCTTACTCTTTACTGGTTTATTATAAAATGATATGATAAAGGTTACAAGTGAACATTCAGAAGATACACATAGAGCAAGGTACAGGGAAGGAGCATGGAGCTTCCATGTTCTCTCTGGGCATGCTATTCTCCCAGTCGTCCAAGTGTTCACCAATCCAGAAGATCTCTGAAGCCCCATACTTTTTTTTAACATATAATCTATCATTTGTTTCAGGGGTACAGGTCTGTGATTCATCAGTCTTACACAATTCACAGCACTCGCCATACCACATACCCTCCCCAATGTGCATCACCCAGCCACTCCACTCCCCTCCAGCAATCCTCAGTCTGTTTCCTGAGATTAAGAATCTCTTACAATTTGTCTCCCTTTCTGATTTCATCTTGTTTCATTTTTCCCTCCTTTCCCCTATGATCCTCAGTCTTGTTTCTCAAATTCCTCATATCAGTGAGATTATATGATAATTGTGTTTCTCTGATTGACTTATTTCACTTAGCATAATACCCTCTAGTTCCATCCACATCATGGCAAATGGCAATATTTGGGGGTTTTCAATGGCTGCATAGTATTCCATGGTGTGTGTGTGTGTGTGTGCGTGTATCCCCCACATCTTCTTTATCCATTCAGCTGTTGATGGACATCTAGGCTGTTTCCATAGTTTAGCTATTGTGGACACATTGCTGTAAACATTCAGGTGCATGTGCCCCTTTGGATCACTACTTTTTTATTTTTTTGCCTTTTTTTTTTTTTTATTTCTTTTCAGTGTTCCAGAATGCATTGTTTATGCACCACACTCAGTGCTCCATGCACTGTGTGCCCTCCATAATACCCACCACTAGGCTCATCCAATCCCCCATCCCCCCCCCAAAACCCTCAGATTGTTTCTCAGAGTCCACAGTCTCTCATAGTTCGTCTCCCCCTCCAATTTCCCCCAACTCCCTTCTCCTCTCCAGCTCCCCATGAACTCCGTGTTATTCCTTATGCTCCACAAATAAGTGAAACCATATGATACTTGACTCTCTCTGCTTGACTTATTTCACTCAGCATAATCTCTTCTAGTTCCGTCCATGTTGATACAAAAGTTGGGTATTCATGCTTTCTGATGGAGGCATAATTCACTGTATATATGGACCACATCTTCCTTATCCATTCATCCATTGAAGAGCATCTTGATTCTTTCCACAGTTTGGTAACTGTGACCATTGATGCTATGAACATTGGGATACAGATGGCCCTTCTTTTCACTACATCTGTATCTTGGGGGTAAAAACCCAGTAGTGCAATTGCAGGGTCATTGGGAAGCTCTATTTTTAATTTCTTAAGGAATCTCCACACTGTTTTCCAAAGTGGCTGCACCAACTTGCATTCCCAACAACAGTGTAAGAGGGTTCCCCTTTCTCCACATCCTCTCCAACACACGTTGTTTTCTGTCTTGTTAATTTTGGCCATTCCAACTGGTGTAAGGTGGTATCTCGATGTGGCTTTGATTTGACTCTCCCAATGGCCAGTGATGATGAACATTTTCCTATGTGTCTGTTAGCCATTTGTATGTCTTCATTGGAGAAGTGTCTGTTCAAGTTTTCTGCCCATCTTTTGACATGATTATCTGTTTTGTGTGTGTTGAGGAGTTCTTTATAGATCCTGGATATCAGCCCTTTGTCTGTATTGTCATTTGTGAATATCTTCTCCCATTCCGTGGGTTGCCTCTTTGTTTTGTTGAAACAGTCAACAAAGAAAAGCTTTTGTTGTGCAGAAGCTTTTGATCTTGATGAAGTCCCAAAAATTCATTTTCACTTTTGTTTCCTTTGCCTTTGGAGACATATCTTGAAAGAAGTTGCTATGGCCAATGTTGAAGAGGTTACTGCCTATGTTCTCCTCTAGGATTCTGATGGATTCCTGTCTCACGTTGGGGTCTTTTATCCATTTTGAGTTTATCTTTGTGTATGGTATAAGAGAGTGGTTGAGTTTCATTATTCTATACATAGCTGTCCAATTTTCCCAGCACCATTTATTGAAGAGACTATCTTTTTTCCACTCTATATTTTTTCCTGCTTTGTTGAAGATTATTTGACCATAGAGTTGAGAGTCCATATCTGGGCTCTCTCTCTTATCCACTGGTCTGTGTGTCTGTTTTTGTGCCAGTACCATGCTATCTTGGTGATCACAGCTTTGTAGTAAAGCTTGAAATCAGGCAACATGATGCCTGCCGTTCTGTTTATCTTTTTCAACATTTCCTTAGCAATTCAGAGTCTCTTCTGGTCCATACAAATTTTAGGATTGTTTGCTCCAACTCTTTGAAAAATGCCAGTGGAATTTTGATCAGGATGGCATTGAAAGTATAGATTGCTCTAGGCAGTATAGACATTTTAACAATGTTTTTTCTTCCGATCGATGAGCATGGAATGGTCTTCTGTCTTTTTGTGTCTTCTTCAATTTCTTTCATGAGTGTTCTGTAGTTCCTCGAGTACAGATCCTTTACCTCTTTGGTAATCTTTGGTATCTTATGGTTCTTTGTGCTATAGTAAATGGAATCGATTCTCTAATTTCCCTTTCTGTATTTTCATTGTTAGTTTATAAGAAAGCAACTGATCTCTGTACATTGATTTTGTATCCTGCCACATTACTGAATTGCTGTATGAGTTCTAGTAGTTTGGGGGTGGAGTCTTTACATGTCATCTGCGAAGAGAGAGAGTTTGACTTCTTCATTGCCAATTTGAATACCTTTTCTTTCTTTTTGTTGTCTGGTTGCTGTTGCTAGGACTTCTAATACTATGTTGGACAAGAGTGGTGAGAGTGGACATCCTTGTTGTGTTCCTGATCCCAAAGGGAAGGCTGCCAGCTTTTTCCCATTGAGGATGATAATCGCTGTGGGTTTTTCCTGGATAGATTTTATGAAGTTGAGGGATGTTCCCTCTATCCCTATACTTTGAAGCGTTTTAATCAGGAACGAATGCTGTATCTTGTCAAATGCTTTTTCTGCATCAATTGAGAGGACCATGTGGTTCTTCTCTCTTCTCTTATTGATTTGTTCTATCACATTGATTGATTTGCAAATGTTGAACCACCCTTGCAACCCAGGGATAAATCCCACCTGGTCATGGTGGATAATCTTTTTAATGTACTGTTGGATCTTATTAGCTAGGATCTTGTTGAGAATCTTAGCATACATATTCACCAGGGATATTGGTCTGAAATTTTCCTTTTAGGTGGGGTCTTTGCCTGGTTTGGGGATCAAGGTAATGCTGGCTTCATAAAAAGAGTCTGAAAGTTTTCCTTCAGCTTAATTTTTTGAAATAGCTTCAGGAGAATAGGTATTATTTCTTCTTTGAAAGCTTGGTAGAACTCACCAGGGAATCCATCAGGTCCTGGGCTCTTATTTTTTGGGAGGTTTTTGATCACTGTTTCAATCTCGTTGCTAGGTATTGATCTATTCAGGTTGTCAGCTTCTTCCCGATTCAGTTTTGGAAGTTTATAGTTTTCCAGGAATGCATCCATTTTGTCTAGGTTGCTTAACTTATTGGCATATAACTGTTGATAATAATTTCTGATGATTGTTTCTATTTCCTTGGTGTTAGTTGTGATCTCTCCCTTTTCATTCATAATTTTAGTAATTTGGGTCTTCTCTCTCTTCTTTTGAATTAGTTTGGTCAATGGTTTATCGATCTTATTGATTCTTTCAAAAAATCAGCTTCTAGTTTCATTGATGCGTTCTACTGTATCTCTAGTTTCTATCTCATTTGGATCACTACATTTTAAACCTCCATACTTTTGAAATTTTTATGGAAGCCTCATCATCTAGGCATGACCAATCATTAACTCCATTTCTAGTCCCTCTCCCTTCTTCCAAGCTTGTAATTATGGCTTGGTCTTTCTGGTGACAAGCCTGCAACCAAGAGTCACCTCATAGAACAAAGACACTGCTGTCACTCAGGAAATTCCAATGGATTTAGGAGCTCCATGTCAGGAATGGGGGTCAAAGACCAAATATTGACAGAAAAGATGCTGCTACTGCTTTGATCACTTAGGGTATTGTAAGAGTTTTAGGTGTTCTTTGCCAAGAACCTGGGGCAGAGATCAATACACATTTTTTTTTTAATTATCTCGTACCTTGGGCTCTACTTTGTCTTCTCATTTTAGGACCCAGGCTGGAAGAACAGTCCCTACACGGGACATACATGGAGAACCGGCCAAACCTTAAGATAAGTCTTATACCTTCTGCCTACATGATGAATGCCATATTTACTCACATTTCATTGGCCAAAGTACATCACATAGTCACACCCAGTGAGGTAAGGACATGAAATCTTCCCATGGGAGGTACAGTTAATCACCTGACAATGGACAGGGAGGAGTGACCAGTAACTGAAAAAAAATATTACCTAGCATGATAATAAACATTGATTATAAATAAAATAGAAAACATGGGAAAGAAGAGTATAAAAATTACCTGTAATTCTGTTAACACTATGATGTATTTCCTTCCAGGCTATGTGTCTGTGTTTTTGATTGTTTTGACAAATTTAGGATTACATAACATATGCAAGTATATACCTGCTTTATAAGCTGCTTGTTGATATAGAATTATATAATGAAAAATTTCCCTCACGAAAAATCATTCTTTTAAAATTTCACATTAATTCCCACACAATTTTTGTATTAGTTTGGATAGGCCAGGTTTTGTAACAATAACAAAAAAATCTCAACTTTTTGCATAGCTTCAAGTCACAAAGGTTTATTTTTTCTTTTTTTTTTTTTATTTTCAGTTAGCCAACATATAGTGCATCATTAGTTTTTGATGTAATGTTCAACGATTCATCAGTTACGTATAACACCCAGGGCTCATCACAACCACAAAGGTTTATTTCTTATTCAAGCCACATGTCCAGTGCAATTTGACATGGCAGTTCTGCCTATCTTGATCATTCTGGGACCAAGCCAAATAGATCAGCTACCATCTCAAATGTATCTGGCTATTGTGTAAAAAGGAAAAGAGAAAATAGGAAAACATGCATTGACTGTTAAAGCTTCTGTCCCCAAAGTTTTCACATTTTATTAGCCAAATCAAGTCACGTGGTGCAACATGTATTTTTTTTTTTTAATGGACACAATATTTTGCAGACCCTCCAATCAAGAGGTTAAGTCTTATTTTTCTACCCCTTGACTCACCTTGGCCATATGACTGACTTTGGCTAATGGGACAGTAGCAAATATAATGTAAGTATAGGCTTAAAACGTCCTTGTGCTTTGAGACTTGTTTCTCTTAATGCTTTTAGAATCACCCAAGATTTACATAGAGGATGACAGATCACATGGAGAGAGGCACCAGGCTCTTCCACTGTTTCCACTATCCCACATAGGTAAGTGAGGTAATTCTCAACCATCAAGCTCCATCCAGCCTAGACCAGAAGAACCATCCAGCCAATTCACAGTTTGAGAACTTTTTAAGCCACTTTTTAAAGTGACGTGTTATGCCATAAGAGCTGACTTAAACATATCTATATCTAATTTCATCCAGGAGAGAGCCACGATATTTTTAAAAAGTCTTATTGACCACTTCAATATGAAATCTTATGGATGTGCCATCATCTATTTAACCATTTTCTTATCATTAGAATCACACTGTTACCTAATTCATTATATCACATTCATTATAACTAAAATTAACACTGCCATGAACATCTTTGTGTATAAATTTTTACCCAGGTTTCTGATTATTTCGTCATAAGAGATTGGTGAGAGAAGAGTTGCTATCAAAATTTAGGCCTCTTAATAATGACCAAATTTTGAACCAAAAGGATGATACTAATTTATAAATCCAATGAAAATACATAAGCATATCCATTTCTCTTCACTCTCATTCAGCATCTAAGTGTGAACTTTTAAAAGCATCATTGTTAATCTAATGAAAGAAAAGTCTCATTTAAATTTTAATTTCATTGTGAATTGAGGATCACTTTGTCTTACATATATTGTTAACAGTCAATAATTCTTATATAACATTCGGTGCATATGATAATATTTCCTTATCTTTCTGTATTAAATTAAATCCAACTTCAGTGTTCCACAGGACAAAACTGGCAGAAAACTAAACATCAGGTATTTTTTCCAGTTTCTTTTCCCTCTCTTGATGGTGAGGAACCTGGAGCCCAGAATGGTCATTACAAAGGTGATGGGGTTCTGTACTGGTGTCTCATCTCCCTCCAAGCTAGGTGCAGGGGAAATTTTATGAAGGGGTGGGACCATCTGGGTTCCCACGGCCTTGAAGTTAATGTTCAGTTTTTATATTTAAACTTACCTAATTCAGGTCCATCTATCTCAGAAGCATTGGAGTGGGTGCAAGTCCCCTCCTGCTCAAATCTTTAAGCACCTGTTCCTTGCCCAATATCATATTCTGTCAGCACCACAAGAAGGCAGGATACAAAACTCCAGTTCCCTTTATTTGGCAGAGTTATAATTTGAAAAACTTGTGTGGACTGTGGGGGTGGGGAGATGATGAAGGTGGCTGGGATGACAAGAGGTTATATGTACATATTACATAATGCTTTTCCCAAAGGATTGTGTAGATATCCCAGAAAACAAACAATGTAACTGTTAGAAGCACAATATAAATGTCAAAAGTATAAGAAATTACATAGAGAAGTATTGAACCATAAGTCATCATATTTTTTCTGTAATTAAGAAAAAATATCACAATAATTTTAGTGAGTTAGAAAAGAAATGCAAAATCAGACTATAAACAGACTATGAACTTCATGGACAGACTTAATATTGAGGCCCTCTATATCCACACGTCCCATCCCCACTATTTTTTCATACCCTGCTCTTTGAAAAAGCTTCATTTCCACCAGATGTCATGGGACATAGTTCTGTCAGTCAATGAATTGACAACTGTTCTCATCATTTGGGGTGGTGGGGTGGACCCCAAACCCAGTCACATTCGTTTGCCTCCAAGCAGCATACAATCCTATCTATAACACATTTTCAGGTAAAGCAGCTGAGTGACAAAATAAAGTCCTCATGAAACCCACTAACTGACCACCCACTGGGCTATGTGCTCCTATGGTATGGGGGTCAGTTGGTGCAAGGGCATTGCCTGCATCTAAGACAGATGAGGAACTTGCAAGAAAACACACAAAGACTGCTGATGCCAAACAAGTTATGAGGCAACATTTGCCAGTGCAATCTGTGTGTTGTGTCTTCTATAAAAAATGTCAGCAAAGGAAAGAAATGGAAACCATTCCCCAATGTGGGCAACCTCTCCTTGTTCACATATGCTTGAGCTGGGACAGTGGATACAAAAGTGGATGCGGGGGTGGAGGGATGCCTGAGAAGGAAGACTGGAAAAGGGGTCAGCTCTTGTACTTAGAATTTGTTGCTAGAAAACAGAAGAGCTGTTAGATGGACACACCCCCACACCCCCGGCCCATAGAGCTGTTTTACTCCTCTAAGTCAACCCAGAGTTTTTTGATGTAGTTACTCCATCATAAAATTTCATATCTTCTTAAGATTCAACTTCAGCTAAAGACCCTGAAGAAACAATGCCTCCTTTGAAAGAACTGAAGAGTCCAGAAACTTCTAGTTTCAACCAGCCACTGTCTAAACTGACAACCTGCTCTGCAGCCTGATGGATGACAAAGCTTCATGGACTGGGAGAGAATTCCATGTCAAGAATGTCTGCTTCTGAGAGCTAGTTCTGATTGCCCTCATCCCCATTAACAAAAACAGATGTGTGCTCATGAGCAAAGTAAACATTCAAGGCCAATATATGTTCCTTTCCACCAATCTAGTTTGGCACTTCAATATGAGCAAATAGTCTATGAAGCAGAGTGGAACTTTTCTGTAACATTGGTGTCAAGTGACGGGACTCACATCTGTGTATTAGTTTAACTGTTATATTAAATATCTATGGAATAGACTCTATTTCATGGGGAATGATTTGAGCTATGATTAAATCTACTGACATGGACTAGTTATTCTCTAATAACTGAGTTTGAATCCTGGTTCTGTTGCTTACTATCTATGTAAACTTGTGCAAGTCATTTAACTTCAGTTTCTGTCTCTAAAATGGAGGTTTTAATAGCATGTATCTCCTACCCTATCAGCACTAAGCATGAAAAATGTGAGCTCATTCTAGGATTATTCCATGACACCAGAGGAAGTAGAATCCAAGAAGGCTGGGTACCTAAACTTGTCTTCATTCATTCTTTCATCAAATATTACTGAGTACCTACAGTGTGATGATGAAAGACATAACTCAATACCATCATGGAGTTTATGGTTTCCTGGTTCATCCGCCACCCTGGATGTGACCCTTCAATATCACTCAGCACCCTGAGCATGGTGCTTCTCAAAGTAATTTGAACATAAGAATTACCTGGCATTCTAAGACTGCATCCTGCTGAATATCCTGGGAAGATTCTGACTTCCTTTTCCTCACTGGCAAAATAGGGAGCAAAGCAATCCCTACCACAATCTTTTTGTGCATTTCAAGAGAAAGAGTTTGGAAACCATGAAGTTACTTTCCAGTGTATGCCATCCAGACTCTCTCTGGGGGTTCAGAGAAGCCAGCCGAGGACCACTCAGCCTGTGTTCTATCTCAGTGTCCTCTTACCCACCTCCTCTCTTGGCACTCTCTGGAGACATGAGTCAGTGGCCACCTGCCCCCATTTTAACCTAATGAGCTAATGGAGCTCAGACTGAAACCAGCCAGCCTCAAGTCCACCACCAAGGTGGACACCTGTATTGTATTCTATGAATGCCTATTATAAGGCTTCAGAGGGCCATTCAGTGGCCATACCCGGTGGTTTTCAGGGCACAGCCCTGCCTTCCTTTCTCACCTGCTGAAATTGGAGATAAACCCAAATATTAGAGTGGTGAACAGCAGGGAATTTAAGAAGAACTGAGTAAGTTTTCCTCACCCAGCCCCTGTCCACCTCTCCAGCTTTATCTCCCCCTTCTCCTCCTCTTCCTTCATACATCCATGTAACCTCTGACTACCTCTTCCCTTTTTTCAGTAATAAAATCCTCCAGTTTTTAACTGGCCACAAAGCCATCTAGAATAATGACTACATTTTCCAGCCCCCTTGCTACTGTGATCAATGGAAAGCAAGCAGAAATGTCAAATGGCCGCAACTGGGAACCGTCCTCCATAAAATAAGTGACATGTGTTTTGTCCCTTTTCTATCCTATCCTGTCCTCCATCCTGCTGCTTGGAATGTAAATGTAGTGGCTTAAGCTTTAGCATCTATTTTGGATGTTGAGAACAAGACTACCCATCAGGAGAATTGAAACAGAAAAGGAGCTTGGAGCCCTGAGCACTGTGGAGCCAAGCCTGTAGCTTGGTCTTGAATTATCAACCTCTAGACTCATACATAAGAAAAAAACAAACTTCTATCTATTTGAAGCCACTGTTATATTGGGTTTCTGCTACTCACATCCAGAATGAGTCCTAACTGATAAAGTGCTCAGAGCGGGATTCTGGAGTTAGACTGCCTAGGTTCTATCCCTTATGAGCTCGTAGACAGAGGTAATTCACTTCACTTCCTTGCCCCAGCTGTTAAATGAGAATGCTAAAAATAGTGTCTACCTTCTAGGTAAAAATGAGCTAATACACATGAGGCTTGAAATATGTAAAGCCTGGCACGTAATAAGCATCTAGAATAAAGGTATGCCCCAAAGTAGCAAGATTGAAGGTTATTCTTCTCTTGAATCAGGCATAGGCTTTTTTAGTGCTGCAACAATGGCAATAGTGCTAATAAATAATATCTTTAAAAGTTTATAGAACACTTTGCAGGAATCTTTTCAACATAGCTATGAATGACATATTATTACTTGCATTCCACAAAGAAAATGAAAGTCTAGAAAAGTTTACTAACATGCGAAGATCACATAGCTACTAAGGAGCTGTGACAGGATTCACATCCAGGTCTCTAACTCCAAATTCCCTTCATTTTCCACAAAGCTTAAGTGCAAGTTGTTGTATTGCTACTCATTCCTATCATGCCCTGAACACGTGATTTTTGTGAAGGGGCTCCTAGGCTCTATTTTCCTATTTTTAAAGAACAAAACAAGTCCGCAAATTCCCTGTGTAAGAAACTTTGTTTTCTGGTCCCTGACAGCTAACACAAAAAATGTTAGCCTCCTAACATTCGAAAAAAGGGATCCGATCAGAGCTCAGCTCAACAATAGGAGTAAAGGAAAAGCCTTGATCCACCTTGATTGCAGTCGGGTTAATGGGGCCTGAATGTGAGTGATATTTCAGGCTCACCCTAAAAGGGACCAAAAAAGAGTCGAGCATCTGGGACAAGGGTGAGGATCCACGACAGTGCATGTGTTTTGAATTGGGGATTCTTTGAACAGAAGCAATTTGGAAGCAGGACTGGAAGCTGCTGCTAACCGGAACATTGTAGCCATTTTCCATGTTCCCTGAGGGCAAGGCCAGTAGCTCTCATCTCTTTAGTTGGATGCTAGGAAGAATTTGCTCACTCTAGTGATTGTGAAAGGCAGACACAAATGTGGCTGTAGAATATTGTTATCTGTGCAGATTTGAAAAGTTAAAGGGAAAAAAAATCTTTCACACATAGAGGATATGGACTGAGCCTCACCCTAGTAGAAAATAAGAGTTGAGTGCAACCAGTAAAGCTGTAATGGTTCTGAGCAGGGAACAGAGACCTGGGTACAAATCCTGACTTACGGGTTCAGTGATTTGCGCCCACCTCCTCAGCCACTTGGATCCTCTTCCTCCCCTCTCTATAAAAAGAGGATCATACCTCTGAGAGTGACTGTGAGGTTGAAAAAAATATGTCCAACAATACAGGAGTTGTTCAATAAATATTCATTTCACCCTTTTCTCATGAATCTTTTCCTCTTCTGGACTTTATGATTCAGTATTTCCTGGAATTCTCAGGTGCCAGAAAATTTCCAAAGAGTTTAAATTGGTTAATTAGCTTCTGAGCTCTTCCCAACATCTTTCTGAGAGAAGTGAGTGGTAGAGATGGGTCAGAAATCAATCAAACTGGGCTTTGCCTGCTGGTCCAGCAGCACCCTCTCACATGCCATTTCCCGCCCCCCGCCATGCTCTCATGGGGCAAGAATGGGATTGTCACAAACCAGACACTCCACCAAGATGCTCCACGCAGCATATAGAATCAGTGTGGAATGTGGCCGTTGCTTGTGCACCTTGTCACCTGCAGAGAAGAGTGCCTGAAATCTCCTAAAGTGTTGGGACTGGGGTCTAACAAGAGGCCTGGGGAAGAGCAGGCATCTGCCGGCTGGTACACGTCACTGCATTGCCTGGAGCATCAGGTCCCCTCTCCAGTACACAAGGTAAGGATGAGATGAGGTGAATGCTGAAGTCACCAAGCTCAACATTCCTCCGAGCCAGGAAGTAGAGAATCTCTATAGGTGAAAAGTGATTTCTCAGTCCTCTGTTCCTTTCTGTACGCTATACTCCTGAATCCACCGTGTTTATACTTTCTCTTGAAGAAAACATTTCTTAGGTCTATGTAAAGTTTCTTTCCTAAGTGGGGGGCTCCTTGTAGGGGAAGCACAGGGGGAAGCAGGGAGTTAACAATGAGGGAGGAGGTAGGAAAAGTGACAATATCATCTTAGAACAGGTCACCCTAATCTCTTGTGTTTGCCTGGGTTGGCGAGACCTGCCTGCCTTGTTCTACTTCACGGGAAAATGACAAAAATGAGAAAATGACAAAAATGGGGGAAAGTTATGTATCTCCATCTTGCCCCCAAGCTTCTTACAGTCTGCCACATCATTAAAAAGTCTTACTGCATAAGCCTTAATTACACCCAAAGTTTAGAGAGAAAATATAAATTAAAAAGAACTTACATCCTAACAAAGTTTATTCTTTTCTTCACCTATATAACTTTTTATTTTAAAATGAGAGAGTTGATAAAGGAAAGAATTCCTTTATCAACTCAGAGGCTCCATGTTTAGTCCAATAACTTCCACTATCAAGTATACTGCCCCCAAAATGAATACAATCAACTGAAAAGAGTTGCTTTATATGATTTCTATCTCTAAATGTAAAGGGCACACATAGAGTCTTATCTATCCTGATTCAATCCCAATATTTCCTCCAAAGGGGAGAGAGAAAGAGACAGAGACACAGAGAGAGAAAGACCCAAAAAGGAGAGGAATTGGTTCTCAGTAGCTTTCCATTCAGCTGGCAAAAGAATTGGGGCTGATTGCTACAACTTCACTTGGCCCTTGCGGCATTTGTGGAGGGGTGGCCGTTACTGCAATCCACTAGTACCCCCTATTGTCCGCTTCAGGAAAATCACAGGGTAGCATGAACTGCTAAACCTGAATAGGTCATCTTAACAACCTTTCAACTTTTCAGACAAAGAAATCTCAAAAACTTGAAACTGTGATTCCACCTTTAATTCACTGATGGCAGTTTATAGTCAAGTAATAGTATTTTAGAGATTTATAGGATGTGAGGATCTTTAGAAAATATTTAGCGAAGGGGTGCTTGGATGGCTCAGTCGTTAAGCATCTGTCTTCGGCTTGGGTCATGACCCAGGGTCTGGGATAAGGCCCCCTGCATTGGGCTTCCTGCTCAGCGGGAAGCCTGCTTCTCCCTCTCCTACTCCCCCTGCTTGTGTTCCCTCTTTCACTGTCTCTCTCTGTCAAATAAATAAATAAAATCTTTTAAAAAAAGAAAGGAAGAAAGAAAGAAAAAATATTTAGCCAATTGTTTTTTACCTATGTACCTATTAGCTCTGCGATTTTAGCAGCTATTATGTGAAACCAGAGGAGGCCAGGAAATGCTGAGTTAAATAACCATTAAGTAAAAATTAAATAAGCAGGTTCCTTCTGCTGGGCTACTCAGATCCTTTAATATGGATTATGTGTCACCCAAGGGGAAATGCAATTTCCCATTAACACTTGACAGAACAACTACTTTTTATACAAATTTCTTGTAGGGTCAATATTCTAGGAAACACACTTGGGTAGTGATAAACGAGTGTAAATGAATTATTCTACAAATTTAGAAACAGAGTCCCAGGAAGGTGCCAGTGACTGGGTGGTAGCAGAGCTCCCGTGAGGATCCACTGGGAGGCTCTCAAGCTCCCAGAGCTGATTCTTTACCAGAGAGCCCCTCTCCTTAGAGTTGATCTTTAGCATTTCTGTTTGCTTAAAGCGTGCTTATTTGCAGAATGAGGAATAGCACTGCCTTGAGCCAAGAGTACTGGAAAAGTGAAGTAGGATTCTTTCAAGTATGCTCCAGCTCTTTGTAGAGAATTTGTTTCTGGTATTTTCAGTTCAATTTCCCTATATCCCTTGTTAAGAACTTTTTGTTTTATAAAAACCCTATGTTCAAAGAACCTAAATTCAACAAATACTTATGCACACAGCTTTGTGATAGTTGGATAATAGAAAGAAGGGCAACATAACACACCACATTGGTTAAGAGCAAAGTTTTAGACATCAAGTTCTGGTTCTGCTGTATTCGGACTGTGTATATTTGGACAAGTTACATATTATCTTTAAGACTCAAAATATGGGGAGCGCCTGGGTGGCTCAGTGGGTTAAGGCCTCTGCCTTCGGCTCAGGTCATGATCCCAGGGTCCTGGGATCGAGCCCCGCATTGGGCTCTCTGCTCAGTGGGGAGCCTGCTTCCTCCCCTCTCTCTCTCTGCCTGCCTCTCTGCCTACTTGTGATCTCTGTCTGTCAAATAAATAAATAAAATCTTTAAAAAAAAAAAAGACCCAAGATATGGAAACAATCTAAGTGTCCATCAACAGATGAATGGACTAAGAAACTGTTATGTATAT